CCTCGGGGAAAACCTCCAGTAAACCCTCGCCTCAGGGAACACATCCAGTAAACTGCCTCAGTGAACCCATCTCATAAAACGCCCCAGGAACACCATCTCAGTAAACATCGCCCGTGAACCCATTCCCGTAAACATCGCCTCAGTGAAACCATTCATAAAAATCGCCCGTGAACACCATCTCAGTAAAACTCGCCCCAGTGAACACCATTCAGTAAACTCGCCTCAGGAACACCATCTCAGTAAACAGCTCGGGAACACATCTCTAAACATCGCCTCAGTGAACACCTCTCAGAAAAACCCCCTAGTGAAAAACCCCTCTCGTAAACAGCCCAGTGAAAACATTCAGTAAAAAATGCCTCAGTGAACACCTTCAGTAAAAATCGCCCATGAACCCATCCAGTAACATCGCCTCATGAAAACCATTTAAACAAACGCCCCCGTGAAAACCCTCTCAAAAAACAGTCCATGAAAAACCATCTCATAAACTCGCCCCAGGGGGAAACCCACCCGTAAAAAATCGCCTCAGTAAAAACATTCAGTAAACCGCTCAGGGAACACCATCTCATAAACATTTGCCCATGAAACCCTTCAGTAAACACGCCTCGGGAAACCCATTCCCGTAAACATCGTCTAGGGGGGAAACCCTCTCATAAACACGCCCCATGAAACCTCTCAAAACATCTTCAGTGAACCCTTCAGAAAAAAATCGCCTCAAGAAACCATTCAGTAAACATCGCCTAGTGAAAAACCATTCATAAACCCCTGCCTCAGGGGAACACCATCTCATAAACACGCCCAGTGAACACCACTCGTAAAAAACCCCCGTGAACACCTTCAGTAAAACATCGCCTCAGTGAACACCTCTCCCGAAAAAATCGCTCAGTGAACCCCTTCAGTAAACTCGTCTCAGTGAACACCATCTCATAAACACGCCCCAGGGAAAACCATTCAAAAACACGCCTCAGTGAAACCCCCTTTTAGTAAAAATCTTCAGGGGGCCCTTTAGAAAAAATCGCCCCAGGGAACCCACTCGTAAACACGCCTCATGAACCCTCTCAGTAAACATGCCCCAGTAAAAACCCCTCAGTAAAAATCGCCTCCTGAACACCATTGTAAACAGCTCATAAACCCCTTCATAAACATCGCCTCAGTGAACACCCCCCTAAAAACGCCCAATAAAAACCTCTCATAAAAAATGCCTCAGTGAACCCATCTCATAAAAATCGCCCCAGTGAACACCACCCGTCCTCGCCCCGGGCCCATCTCGTAACATCGCCTCAGGGGAAAACCTTCAGTAAACATCGCCTCGGGAACACCATCTCGTAAAAAATCGCCTCGTGAACCCCTCGTAAAAATCGCCCCAGGAACCCATCTCAGTAAACATGCTCAGGAAACCTCTCAGTAAACATCGCCTCTGAACCCATTCAGTAAAAACCCTCAGTGAACACCCCTCAGTAAACATCGCCCCAGTGAAACCATTCCCGTAAAAATCGCCTCAGTGAACACCATCTCAGTAAAAATGTCTCTAAAACATTCGTAAACATCGCCCAGGGAACACCATCTCAGTAAAATCGCCCAGTGAACACCTCTCAGTAAACATTTTTCAGGGGAACCCATCTCGTAAAAACCCATAACCCATCCAGTAAAACGCCTCAGGGAACCTTCAGTAAACTCGTTCAGGGAACCCATCTCTAAACTCCCTTCGTGAAACCATCTCAGTAAAAAATGTCTCAGTAACACCCTCTCAGTAAACATGCCTCGGGGAAAACCATCCATAAACCGCCTCAGTGAACCCCATTCGTAAACATCGCCCGGGAAAAACCCTCTCATAAACATCGCCTAGGGAACACCATTCAGTAAACACGCCAGAACCCTCTCAGTAAACATGCCTCAGTGAACACCCTCTCAGTAAACATCGCCCAGGAACCCATCTCGTAAACCCCTGCCCTGAACACCCCTCATAAACATCCCCGGGAAAACCTCTCGTAAACATCCCTCAGGAACACCATTCAGTAAAATGTTCAGGGAACACCCTCCATAAACACGCCTCAGTGAAAACCATTCGAAAAACGCCCCAGGGAACACCATTCTTTAAAAATGTCCAGGGAACACCATCTCAGAAACATCGCTCAGTGAACCCATCCATAAAAATGTCTCAGGAACACCATTCTTTAAAAACGCCTCAGGGAACCCATCCATAAACATCCCTCGGGGAACCCTCTCTTTTAAAATCGCCTCAGGGGAAAACCCACATTAAAAAAGCCCCCGTGAACACCATCTCAGTAAAATCGCCCCAGGGAACACCCCTCATAAACATCGCCTCAGGAACACCCAAAACTTAAAAAATTTCCCGGGAACCCTCTCATAAAAAAACCCCCTCATGAAACCTCCTAAACTCGCCTCAGGGAACACCCCACATAAACTCGCCCATGAACACATCTCAGTAAAATGCCTCAGTGACACCACCAGTAAACATCCCTCAGTAAAAACCATCCAGTAAAAATGTTCGGGAAAACCATTCAGTAAAAATCGCCTCAGTGAACCAATCTCATAAACATGCCCAGTGAACACCACCAGTAAACATGCCCCATGAACACATCCAGTAAACTGTTCGGGAACCCCATCCATAAACTCGCCTCATGAACACCTCCAGTAAAAATCGCCCAGTGAACACCTCTCGTAAACAGTCTCTTTATATCACACTGTTCACAAACAATACTAAGGTGTCACGGTGTGTTGGAGGATAACAGCAGATACTCTTAGCACGCAGGGAAATACCTTTTTATTTTTTGAAAAAAAAAACAAGATCGAGTCAGGTGTATTTTTAGTTAATTCGCCACGTTTATTTTTACAGTGCGGAAAATCACTTGACGTTTTTAAAATTAAATTCAATGGTAAATTATGCTAGAATATGTTAAAATTATCGATGTACTGACCCTCAAAGAGGGGCTAGAAAACATGACAAGGGGGTGCAAAAACACGCATGCAGGAAAAAAAATATTAAACGGCGGTTTATTTAGGATCGAATTTAGCTTTTTAAGTCCAGTCATTAACGACACGTCTACATTAATCAATGCCAGAAATTAAAAGTCGAAGCAAAACAGACTACAGCTTTGGAAAGTGGAATAAATTCAAAGAAAATACAGAAACAAATTTTAAAAAGATTGTTCAGGAAAGGTATTTAGGATACAGTAAATTTGTAAATTGTTACATTTGGGTTTATTTGTAGCATGGAAGAGTTAAAAGGGGAAAAGGGGAGAGCGTGGGAGGACCCATGAGCGTGTAGAAGGAAGGTTGGTGGGAACTCTGTGAAAGAAGGGTTTTTGGAGCAACTCGGAAAAAACAGGTTTTTGGACAACTCTTGAGATAAAGACAGGTTTGGGGGCAATTGTGAGATAAAGACAGGTTGGGGGAGCAACTCTGGAGATAAAGACAAGTTGGTGGAGCAACTCTGTAGGTAAAAGACAGGTTTGGGATAAAAAACTCTGTGAGAGTAAAGACAAATTGGTATAGGAACTCTGTGAGGTAAAGACGGTTGGTGGGCGCTCTGTGAGAGTAAAAAAAGGTTGGTATAGCAACTTGTGAAGTAAAGGGGCTTGGGGGGCAACCTTGAGATAAAACAGGTTGGTATAGCAACTCTGTGGAGTAAAGGGACAGGTTGGTGGGAAAAAACGAAAGGTAAAAGCAGGTTGGGGAGCAGCCTGTGAAGTAAAACGGTTGGTGGGCAACTCTGTGGAGTAAGACGGTTGGGGGGAGCAGCTCGTGGAGTAAAGAAAGGTTGGTGGAGCCTCTGTGAGAGTAAAGACAGGTTGGTGGCAACCTGTGGGTAAGACAGGTTGGGGGAGCAAAAACCGTGAGAGTAAAGACAGGTTGGTGGGCAGCTCTGTGGAGTAAAGAAGGTTTGGGGGAGCAAATTGTAGAGTAAAGACAGGTTGGTGGGCAGCTCTGTGGAGTAAAGAAGGTTTGGTGGACAACTCCCCTTTAGAGTAAAGAAGGTTGGTGGAGCGCTCTGTGGATAAAAACAGTTTTTTGGGGGCAGCCGTGAGAGTAAAGAAGGTTGGTGGAGCAACTCTGTGAAGTAAGACAGGTTGGTGGAGCAACCGTGAGGGTAAAGACAGGTTTGGGGGGGCAGCTCTGTGGGATAAAGCGGTGGTGGGCAAACCCTTTGGGGAATAAAAACAGGTTGGTGGACAGTCTGTGAGGGGAAAGACAGGTTGGTGGGCAACTCTGTGAGAGTAAAAACAGGTTTTTGGTGGAGCACTTGTGAAGTAAAGACAGGTTTTGGAGCAACCGTGAGAGTAAAGACGGTTGGTGGACAACCTGGAGAGTAAAAGACGGTTTTTGGAGCAATCTTAGAAAAGACAGGGTTGGGGGAGCGCTTGTGAGAGTAAAGACAGGTTGGGGGAGCAGCCTGTGGATAAAGACAGGTTGGGGAGCACTCTTTTGGGGGGAAGATTGTACTGGTGTAGAGTAGAGGGTAAAAACCCAGCACTGCCCGTCCAAAAAGTCTGGCTTATGGGTTTCCCACGTTGGATTTCGTGCGGGGCTCTAACATCAGTTGATCGCTTTTGATCCCAGGGGGCCTGGTTGGGGCAGCCAGAGGGGGTTACCCCCCGGAAGATCCTTCACATAATCTTCGGGGATTTATGTCCCCCCCCCTTTACCCAGTCTCCCCCTCATTTTACTTCTCTCCAAATTTTTATATCAAGGGGGGAAGCGCTAAACCCCAGGTTAACACGCTGGGGGGGGTGTGGAAAGGGATTCAGGCTTAAATTTGGGGGGAATGGAGACAGATCCAATTCCCCAAATCAAGAGCCCCCCACCCAACATCAAGGACTTCCTTCCAGAGCAAATTTCTTCGTCAAATTTTCCCGTATCTTAATTTTTAAAGTACATTTTTTATCTGTAGGAGTTTACCTTTTTCTTTACTGTATTTTCAACATGAATTTAAATTTTTTTATGGACCCCTTTGTTTTTTATGCTGTCTGTCTGTCTCTCACCTTGATAAGCTTGCGTCTGAGTACCACCATGTAGAGTAGCAGCAGCAGCAGTACCACTCCTAGCACCCCTCCCACGGTGCCGGCAACCACTGCTACACTGCTGTCCCCAGAGCTGCTTCTTCCTTCTACCTCAGGTGCCTCGACTGCGGGTTCCGTGGCGGGTTGTGGCGGAGGCTGTGGGCGGTACGTCGGGGGCGGCCGTGTGTTAGGTCTAACCACTGGACGGGCGGTGGTGGGCGTCTTCGGCTTCCCAAACTCTGTAGTGAGGCAAAGCAGGAGTTAGTTTCGACCGAGCAGTATTATTATTATTATTATTATTATTATTATTATTATTATTATTATTATTATTATAATCATGGGGAAGCGCTAAACTCGTAGGATTATACAGAGCATGTGGGGGGGGGATGGAAGGCATTCAGGATTAATTCAGGGAACTGGAACACAGATCCAATTCCCTAGATCAAGAGCCCCTCACCAGCGTCAAGGAACCTCCCTTGAGGGGACCGAGCAGGAGAGATGAATTCGGGGTTTTGTATAATAAAATAATTGTTTTCAAACCATATTGTAAATTCATAATACAAAATATTATAGTATAACGAGACTATTTGGTGTAGCTGGTAGCGGGGTGTGAATTATAGACGTCTTCCCGAGGCTTCTTTGTTTATTTGTAATGTCGTGGTGGGTACACAGGCTTGTGTGTTGTGCCCATGACCGGGAAGGCCATCCCACGAGAGGAGGGAACTAGTACTAGTGTCTTGCTGCTTGGCCGCTGGAGAGAGTGTGGGCCCAGCATCCCACAGACTTCGGGCTGGGCAGGCCCAGAGGGCAGCACTTTAGTGGCGCGAAATATGGAGTAAGCTGGCAGACAGCATAGGCTGTCTGTGCAGACAGTACAGGCTGTCTAAAATAGGTATATCTATTTATATAAAAAATAGTTATTAAATAGATTAGAGGCGATGAAAGTATTGAAGATTCTCGTAATCCAACTTATCCTTTTTCTTGCTGCTGTGATAATAACATTTTTGTGCTCCTTGAACGTGAGATCCAACATTATCACTCGTACGTCTCTCACTTTGGACTTAGGTTCTATTGAGTGGTTTACCCATATGAGCAAGTCTCCCTACACTTGCTGTAGCTGCTCATCAAGCAGTTAATGGGGAGACCGGTGTGTTTCGAGAGTTTTCCTTCTCCTGAGACCCACTTCCGGGCCAGGCTTATCTGGTGCTTGCTTGTACAACTAGGCTGGTGGTCCACTGGCCCACATATTCATCACAGCCTGCTGCTGCTAATACTGTACGATGAGACATGACTTCACAATGAGCTGTGATAGAGAAACAGATTTTAGCTTATAAATTCATTCGAGTAAATTAAGAAGTGTTGAGGCGTGTGGGGAAGTCAACAACTCTCCAGCGAGATAAAACCATCCGGTCATTCGACTGTCAGATAAAGGTCTGTTAAACGTTGTACACTCCATTATCAACTTCTGTTGTTTTCTTCCAGTCTCGGGAACATGTAAGATAACAGGTACTGTATATGCAACAAATTTCTACTTATGTTCAGTACATATATTTCGTTTCTTGTGCTTCTTAACAGTTTATGTTTCTGTAATACAATATTTGATCTCCCATCACAAAAGACCTGGTGTAAGACTAAGCCTCCTCCACCATGATTCCAATAACACTAACACATATTACTGTTGTGTGATTAATCTTGCGATGTGATTAGGACCATGTGTGTGTGTGTGTGTGTGTGTGTACTCACCTATTTGTACTCACCTATTTGTGGTTGTAGGGATCGATTCATAACTCCTGGCCCCGCCTCTTCACTGAACACTACTAGGTCCTCTCTCTCCCTGCTCCATGAACTTTATCATACCTCTGCTTAATGTATGGATCCTGCCTTCACTACCTCACTTCCCAGACTATTCCACTTCCTGACAACTCTGTGACTGAAGAAATACTTCCTAACGTCCCTGTGATTCATCTGAGTCTTCAACTTCCAATTGTGACCTCTTGTTGCTGTTTCCTATATCTGGAACATCCTGTCTCTGTCCACCTTGTCAATTCCTCTCAGTATTTTATATGTCGTTATCATATCCCCCCTATCTCTTCTGTCCTGCAGTGTCGTCAGGTCGATTTCCCTTAATCTCTCCACGTAGGACATGCGCCTTAGCTCCGGGACTAGTCTTGTTGCAAACCTCTGCACTTTCTCTAATTGCCTTACGTGCTTGGCTAGGTGTGGGTTCCAAACTGAGGCTGCATACTCCAATATAGGCCTAACGTACATATTGGACAGGGTCCTGAACGATTCCTTATTGAGATGTCGGAATGCTCGTCTTGGGTTTGCTAAGCGCCCCTATGTTGCAACAGTTATTTGGTTGATGGCGCTTCAGGAGATGTGCTCGGTGTTATACTCACCCCAAGTTTCTTTTCATTGAGTGAGGTTTGTAGTCTCTGGTCCGCCTAGACTGTATTCCGTCTGCGGTCTTCTTTGTCCTTCCCCAATCTTCATGACTTTGCACTTGGTGGAGTTGAACTCCAGGAGCCAGTTTCTGGACCAGGCATGCAGCCCGTCCAGATCCCTTCGTAGTTCCGCTTGGTCCTCGTCCGATTGAATTCTTCTCATCAACTTCACATCATCTGCAAACAGGGACACTTCTGAGTCTATTCCTTCCGTCGTGTCATTCACATATACCAGAAACAGCACCGGCCCTAGAAACCCCGCTCGTCACAGGTGCCCACTCTGACACCTCGTCACGTACCATGACACGCTGATGTCTTCCCGACAGGTATTCTCTGATCCATTGTAGAGCCATTCCCTGTTATCCTTGCCTGGTCTTCCAGCTTATGCACTAATCTCTTGTGTGGAACTGTGTCAAAAGCCTTCGTACAGTCCAAGAAAACGCAATCTTCCCCCCCCTCTCTCTCTCTCTCTCTTGTCTTACTGCTGTCACCCTGTGTGTTAGTTACCATTTTGTCCTAGGCACATGTCGATTAGACACTAGGCCTGTTCTGTGTGTGTGTGTGTGTGTGTGTGTGCTCACCTATTTGTACTCACCTATTTGTGGTTGCAGGGGTCGAGTCATAGCTCCTGGCCCCGTCTCTTCACTGATTGCTACTAGGTCCTCTCTCTCCCTGCTCCATGAGCTTTATCATACCTCGCCTTAAAACTATGTATGGTTCCCGCCTCCACTACTTCACTTTCTAGGCTATTTCCACGGCTTGACTACTCTATGACTGAAGAAATACTTCCTAACATCCCTTTGATTCATCTGAGTCTTCAACTTCCAATTGTGACCTCTTGTGTCTGTGTCCCATCTCTGGAACATCCCGTTCTTTGTCCACCCTCGTCTATTCCGCGCCCTATTTTATATGTCGTTTTCCTGTCTCCCCTGACCCTCCTGGCCTCCAGTGTCGTCAGAGCCGATTTCCCTCAACCTTTCTTCGTAGGACAATCCCCGTAGCTCTGGCACTAGTCTTGTTGCAAAAACCTTTGCACTTTCTCTAATTTCTTGACGTGCTTGACTAGGTGTGGATTCCAAACTGGTGCTGCATACTCCAGTATGGGCCTGACGTAAATGGTATACAGAGTCTTGAAAAGACTCCTTACTGAGGTATCGGAACGCTATCGTAGGGTTTGCAGGCGCCTGTATGCTGCAGCAGTTATCTGAAATTTATGTGCGCCTCAAGGGGATATGCTCGGTGTTAACTACCCCCCGATCTTTTTCCTTGAGTGAGGTTTGCAGACTTTGGCCATCTAAACTATATTGTGTCTGCGGTCTTCTTTGCCCTTCCCCAATCTTCATGACTTTGCATTTGGCAGGGGTTTTTAAACCCCAAGGAGCAGTTGCTGGACCCGGCTTGTAGCCTGTTTCCCGGTTTTCTTTGTAGTCCTGCCTGATCCTCATCCGATTTGATTCTTCTCATTAACTTCACATCGTCCGCAAACAAGGGCACTTCTGAGTCTATCCCTTCCGTTATGTCATTCACATATACCAAGAACAGCACAGGTCCTAGGACTGACCCCTGTGGAACCCCGCTTGTTACAGGCGCCCACTTTGACACCTCGTCACGTACCATGACTCGTTGTTGCCTCCCTGTCAGGTATTCTCTGATCCATTGCAGTGCCTTTCCTGTTATGTGTGCCTGTGTGTGTGTGTGTGTGTGTGTGTGTGTGTGTGTGTGTGTGTGTGTGTGTGTGTGTGTGTGTGTGTGTGTGTGTGTGTGTGTGTGTGCTTGAGAGCATCAACACAAGTATAAGCAGCAAACGTGAGCTGCTTCTTTCCAAGCAATGTTACCCAACGTCTCTTGTCCATGCGGCGACACGCCAACACCAACAGCCTGGTTAACCAGGCAGTCAACAGGGAGAGTAGGAAAACTCTCGCAACCGGTACAGGTAATCAGAGGTAAACACACAAGAAGTCAAAACTAACACACACAGTGAAGAGGCGGGGCCAGGAGCTGAGTCTCGACCCCTGCAACACAATTAGGTGAGTACACACACACGCACACGAGTTGAAAGAGAGAAAAGAAAAGAAGAGGAGAGAGAGGAGAGAGAGAGGAGAGAGAGAGGAGAGAGAGAGAGGAGAGAGAGGAGGAGAGAGAGAGAGAGAGAGAGAGAGAATTTCCCTCATGTCCCTGGAAATGCATGACTAAAGTTTTTATCTAATGCCATGGGCTAAGCAAGTGCCAACACCTGGAGTACTACGTAACTACGATGATGATTTATGATGTTTATGATGATGATAATGATGATGATGATGATGATGATGATGATGATGATGATGATGATGATGATGATGATGATGATGATGATAATGATGATAATGATGATAATGATGATAATGATAATGGTGATGATGATGATAATGATGAAGATGATGATGATAATGATAATGATAATGGTGATGATGATGATGATATCTTTATATACTACAAGTACATTTACAAGGTATAGTCCTAGCTGACATCAATAACATACTACTATATAGAAAGCCGCTTGTTATGCTGAGTATTTCGGGCAAATTAGGTCAGTTTTGTCCCAGGATGCTACCCACACCAGTCCACTAACACCCAGGTACCCATTATACTGATGGGTGAATATGGACAGCAGGTGTCTTATGGAAACACGTCCCTAATGTTTACCAGACGTACCGGAGGTGATTCGGACAATGGACCTCAGTGTGTCAGCTGGGTACGCTAGCGATCGAGCGATCCAGCAATCATGTCAATCAATCAAGTTCATTCTCTATAAGGATTACAATGCGGGGT